AAGTCATTTTCATGACCGAGTAGCCAAGTCTTTAGCCCAAGAAAGCTGTAGAAGATGTAGAAGATGATGAAGCAGCACTTTGAGGTACCAAAATCCTTGTTTTATTTACTCAGAAAATGCAACTTAGTTGCAAAACCTCCAAAATTTGTTTGGGGCAACAAAATCCAAAGAAGGAAAGCTGTAATGAAGGAGGAGTTAAGGTTGTTTGAGAAGGATGGTACGTGACTGTGGAGAAAAATGTGAAAACCAAGCACAAGATGGGTAACAAAGGGCTGATCCCAGGTGCTTAGGCATAAATCTATTTTTGTTTTGATTTTACAGCTTTAACACCAAGGAGGAGTGTTAGAGTTATGGTGTCAAAGCTGCAGCAGTGGGAGCAAATTGAAAGACATGAAAGCTACAACATGATTGTACAATAGCAGCAAATTGACAACAGCATGAAGCTACACATGAGCTGCGAAATGGCAACAAATCTTTTGACTGTAATCTTGTTTTAAATGTTTGATAGATTTTCTTGCATTAGGTAAAATATTAGTTGAGAAGAAATTATTTTTTATTAAGTTGTTTTTGCTATAAATATAGCAAAATATCAATGATATTTCTGAGTTGAAGTAATATACTTCTTCTCCATTTTCGTTTATGCTCCTCCTGATTTTCTCTCCTTTTTTAGTTGGGTTCTGCTCTTTATCTTCCTACCGATGTTCTCTCCATTTTTCTTTGTGAAAAAAATGAACACAATCCTCTTCTCTATAAGTTCTTCACTAAGTATTCTGATCTGATTCACCACCTTCATCACACCCTATCAAAAAATTCTTTCAGTCTCTATTTCTTTCATCTTGAGAACCTCAAATTTCCCCCTAAGATTAACCACCTAAATTTGCTTTGCCTTTGTATCTCCCTGGAACTCCTCCTTGAGTTTATCCCAGGCCTCCTTTGCTGTTTCACAAGTCATAATCGTTGTAAAAATTTCTTTAGACACTGCAAAATGAACAGTAGTCAGTGCCTTGTATTTCTTTGTCACTTCCTTTGTGTGATGCCTTATTTGGTTCAAGGTTGCATTTCCAAGCAAAGGGGGTGGATCAATGTTGTGCTCAACACAAATGCTCTCGGATATGCCTTCATTTTAATTGACCAAACTTGATAATTTTGGCCACAAAAAACAAGTACCTTTGTGGTGAAACTGATACTTGCTTCCATGATTTTGCTTGAACTCTCTCAAATATTGGTGCTAAAACCTCACAGACCTTCACGGATCAAAAAAGCTCTAATACCAATTAAAGGAAATGGAACTAACAAAGGAGAGATTGAATGCAAAAGCAACACAATTTTCATTATGCAAAATACTTAAATACACAGAAAAAGGTAGTTACAAAACTACCTCAATAGTTATCCAATACAAACAAACTTAAACAAACTACTATAAACTTAAAAACACCTAAAACTAATTCAAACTGCAAACAAACTAAATTAAATTCAAATAAAAAATAAATAGACTCAACCGGACAACAACATAGCAGCTTTGGTGGCATGCTTATCTGGAACAGTTCCAACACAAACCAAGGAATGCACTCAGGAACTCCAATCAGTTCTGCGCAGAAGGCAAGGAGCTAAAATCACACAAGAGGTTAAGAAATACTTAGCCTCTAGGAAGGCAATGAAGAAGACCTTAAACAATTTGAAGAAGAAAGAAAACAATTGCAATGAAACTAGATCAATAGTTAACATCCTCCAAGATGCAAGATGCAAGAGCAATCACTCTCAATGTCATGGAATCCTTGTTGCTCTTTGTATTTGCACCACAGACAGGATCAAAAACATGCCGTTGGTTAGCAGTTTCAAAGCTATGGCAGAAGAAAAGAATAGCATGTGAAGGAGAAGAGAATGAAAATGAGATCACCAATGCTGAAGCTACACTGCTCTCCATCATCGGAGGCAAGACAAGTATTGGAATTGAGAATGCACAAATTGAACTCCAAAAGGCAGGGTCAAGCATTCAAGATCTTGAAGAAGGGCTTGAAATCATCTTCAAGCAGTTGATTAAAGCTAGAGCCACCATTCTTAACATCCTCAACCATTAGAACAAAACTATACTTGTATATGATTCTTCATACATGTATTTGAATACACAAAAAGATACTTCATAAGAGAAAAAAATTACTTTCTCCAAAAAAATTTTGTTTCCATTACTGCTTTATGTCTTTTCTTTCATTTTTTTTCATTTTCTTTCTTTTCTTATGAATTGAAACATTTTTATCCAAGTTAAATTTTAACCACATGTTACAGTTTGAGCAATAAACCCCAATTTCTATTCCAATTCATTAGAACAATCTTTTTCTAAGGGGATAATTAATATTTTGTATTTTTCATGAATATCTAAGCTGTGAAGATTCCCATTGTCTCATTGAATACAATTCATTTGATAAACAATGAATGGCATTCACATGGTAGAATCAAATCTCACATGGTTTAAGCAAATAAAAATGATCCTTATGTCTATATGTTAGGAGAACGTCACACTACTCAACTGCTAGCCAGAAGCAAGAATGGGGATCTTGCCTACCTATTGCAGAACAATCAACGCGATTGATTATTCAGTCAACTTGGGTTAGCATATATAATGGTATTTCCCTCTATTGCACATATTCAAATGATATTCAAATGAAGAACTTAGAATCATATGAACAAATTAACATAGCTAACTCTACTTGTATGGGCACAAATAATTTGCTTCAGTTTTCTGAAATGATCAAAATGTAATAACCACGTGTCAACATAATATGGAACGGATAAGTTAAGCATTTTAGATCCATTTGGATGATCTACAAGAAGATAAAAATAATGGAAAAGGTAAGGTTTACCAGATGATGAGAATTAATTGACTGTATAAATAATTTGTTTTTTGGTCTAAGGAAGGGAGGTGCCAAACACAGAGGGAAACTTTATTTCCGTCGTAGTTCCTTCCTGCAGACATAAGATGTAAAACTTTGCTAACTCCACTCGTGAAAGCAAATATTATAGCAGGTTAAATGAGACAAAGATTTCGGGGAGAGAAGACATTGCATAAGCATGACTAAGTTAGTTTATAGATCCAATCATAAATACCAGGTTACCACTATTTGAATATGCTGATGTCTCCTTTGCCATTTAGTATTTATAAAAAAGAGGCACTTATGGAAGGCAATTTAACAAAAAGAGATTAATTTTAAGAAATTGTTGGATCTTACTAAATTTTAATGCATTAGGAAAGAAGAAGAGATGTCAAAAATGTGGATCCTGCCTGCCTCTTGCACAACATAACAAAACTAAGATCAATTATTGTGATATGAAGCTGCTATGCTGGTTGAACCCATAACAGAGAGAAAAAAACAGTAGGTAGTGCAATTATCTCTACATGAAAATGTGCTCAAATTTTCTTTTCATGAAAGGGAAATAGAAAAAGGGGTCAGGTCCTCCAAAATGTCCAACACGTGCTGCATATTATATGCTGTCATTAATGATTCTTTGGGATCTCAGTACCAGAAAATAATTAGCCAATGAGCTACTGCCCTGGTTGAGAGGAGACATGCATATACATCATTAATGCATATTAAAAAGGGATTCCTCATATCTCCACACCTTGTAATATATGTAGAGCAAATGCCAGGGGGAAAGATAACAAACCAAGTTGAATACAGAATTCTTCAAGGCCTTTCTTCATACTCCAACTCCAAAGGAAAAATGGCTCACCATGCTCACTCAAACAGCTTTCCTTCTAGATTACACTCTGAAACTTTTGAGGTCAATGAGCATTTGAGCAGATTGGCATCATCTGAATCTGCCTCTACTCCTCATTCTTCTTGTGCAAAAAGCTCAATGGCCTTCAGGATTTACACGATGGTATTGAGAGGTTGCTCCTAATGCCCCTCAACCAACAAGCTTTAACGCGTGAGCAGCAAAGGAAATATGTTTATGAGATGCTGAATGGATCTATTAGGCTCTTTGATGTCTGCACTGCTGCCAAGGAAGCCTTGTTGCAAGCAAGGAATGCACTCAAGAACTTCAATCAGTTCTGCGAAGAAGGCGAGGAGCTGAAATCACACAAGAGGTTAAGAAGTACTTAGCCTCTAGGAAGGCAGTGAAGAAGGCAGTCTTGAAGGCCTTAAAAATTTGAAGAATAAAGAAAACAAATGCAATGAAAGTGGAGCAATAATTGACGTCCTCCAAGAAGCACAAGTGGTCACTCTCAGTGCGATGGAATCCTTGTTGCTCTTTGTATCTGGACCAGAGACACAATCAAAAATGGGCCGTTGGTCAGTGGTTTTAAAGATACTGCACAACAAAAGAATAAGGTGCGAAGAAGGAGAAGGACATGAAAATGAGATTGGCAATGCTGGAGCTACATTACTGTACATCATTAGTGGCAAGACTAACATTCAAATTGAGAATGCACAAAATGAACTGCAAATAGCAGAATCATGCATTCAAGATCTTGAAGAAGGGCTTGAATCCATCAACAGGAGGTTGATTAAATCCAGAGCCACCATCCACAACATCCTACACCATTAGATCAAAGATCGTAACACCCCAATATACTTGTATATGATTCATTACACATGTATTTGAAAACACAAAAAAGAATACTTATGATAAACAAAAATATACTTTTCTCCAAAACTTTGTTTCCATTACAGCTTCATATGCTTTCTCCTTTTTCTGTTACCCTTTTCTCTCTCCTTGATTAAAACATTTCTAATCCAAATTAAATTTTGACTGTCTGTCACGGTTAGAGCATTGAATTCAATTCTTTGTAATTAATTTTGAATAGATGCATACATGTGTTTCTGGTGAATATCTAAGCTGTCAAGATTCCCGTTGTCTCAAATATAATTTATCTGATAAACAAATAAATGAAATTCACATGGTAGACTCCAATCTCACACGGTTTATGCAAATAAACATCTGCCTCATGTCTTTCCATTAATAGAACATAACCTTATTCCTCGCCACTGAACGCTATTTTGTAACATTTTGTTGAGACGGCAGAACCAAGAATGAGGATCTTTTGTTCCTCTTGTACAACAACTCTTTCAGAAACTACTTTACCGGTTGGATTGGTTAATCAGTCAAAACATTAGCATACATAGTTGTATAGTGTACAAAATTGTCCTATATAATTTGCTCCATCCACCATAAATTGCGACTCCCTCATCTACTAACAACTTGCACTTGAACTTTTAAACATTCATTCCAGGCATTTAAGACTTGGTCAACAGGTTTAATTATGACAGTTTGTAATACGACAACCAGTTTTTTTTCTTTGAAAGCTGTTCAATAAAACCATGATACGTGAATTGAAATTTAAAATTTCAAGGAATTACAATGAAACCACGCCAGCAATGCAAATATATCATGTCTCTAGAACAATAATCATTTGAGGAATTTCACGCTCGATGATTAATGAGTCCCACATGGGACTTCATTTACAATGATGATTAGATTACTGAAATAGAGTAAAGGACCCCTACATGCAGATTTGGGACAACAAAATAAATTTGTGTTCTCATTGTTCTTAATTAGAGGAAACAGGATACATCAAGACCATTTGTGCATCACAAATGGTATGATGTTGCATTATTTCACAGAATCTCAACAATCTTTACAATTTAAAATGGTTTTGGCTGAGTTGGAGACCCTCGTGGAGGGCAGACATTGCCAAAACATCACAGATATTTGTGTTTAGATCCAAATCCGAGTCAAGTTAGCATTAGTTGATGGCTGGTATACATACATGCATCAGAAGAAGAGAGGTGATCAACAGCAAAATTATAGACTGAATTTGCAGGCTTTGAACTACCACGCCTCTTTTCTTAGGAAGCAAAAATGGCTTCCCAACCTTGCTAGCATGTTTGCTCCAACAGCCTTCCTTCTAGACCACACCCCCTTGCTTCAGACATTGTTGAACATCTCGGCAGGGAATCACCAATCAGCCATATACTGAATGGCCTTCAAGATTTGCATGACTGCGTTGATAATTTTCTTCAGCTGCCCCACCCCCAAGAAACTTTAGCCCAACAGAAAAACAGGAAATGGGTTGACGAGTTGTTGGATGGATCTCTTCAGCTCTTAGACCTCTGCAGCTCTGCTAAGGATTTTGTGCTGCAAGCAAAAGAAAGCTCAAGTGCATTTCAATCAGTTTTGTGTAGAACACAGGGTGGTGAAGCAGATATTGCAGCTGAGGTAAAGAAATGCTTGGCCTCCAGGAAAGCTGTGAAAAAGGCCATAAACAAAGCCTTGGCTAAATTGAAGACCATGCGAGCTGAGTGCACCTTCTCTCCTTCAGATGACAACAAGACCAAGGCTATAGTTGGAATGTTAAAACAAGTTGAATTAGTCACCCTTTCTGTATTTGAATCATTCTTGTCCCTGATCTGTGGAACAAAGGATCTGTCCAAGGCCAAGAGCCGTTCCTTGATTTCCAAGCTGATGAATCCCAAAAGAATTGCATGTGAGGAAGAAAAGATGAACAGTTCTGAATTCGAAAAGGTGGATTCTGCTCTCAAGATGAGCAAATCTGAAAATGTATCAAATATGGAGATGCAAAGCCAACTACGGGACTTGGAGTCATGCATTAAAGATCTCGAAGAAGGGCTCTACTGCCTATCTAGGCATTTGATCAAATCAAGGGTTTCTCTTCTTAACACCCTCAACCATTAGATGAAAAATTGATCAGAGTTTTGTTTACTTTGTGTATGATTGAAATATACATGTATTTCAACACAAATTATACACAATGTTCAACAGATTATTACTTTTAGATTTCGTCTTTCCATTTTCAAGATCACTAATTCCTTTTAAGCCATATTTTTCCTTGTTATTTATTTTTTGGATAAATATAGAAATATTATTAGAAATAAAAATAGGAGTACATCTTGGGGATCGAGCAAAACAGACCCCATATGCATCAGCACAACAAAAGAAAGCAACAGAGAGGGGGCAATTTTCAAACATACAAAAACTGGAGGAAGCCAAAGAGCTGCTCATCTTAGCAAAGCAATCAGCCGTCGTGTTGCTCTCCCTGACAGTGGGTAGACCCTGGGATGTATATCGAACTGACATAGTAGAGCTTAACAAAACATGACCACTACATGGTATCTGATTCTGAATTTCTTCCAAGTTCATCTTCAGAATCGACCTTATCATATACCCATTCTCACCCCTATCTCATGGGTTGACATCAAAGTTATAAACAAGAGACTATATTTCCGTGAAAAGATTAAAAGAAGATGTTTTTTTAGGAAAAAGAAATATACTTAAAAAAGGCCTCTCTACAATATCAGAGTCTAAATTAAAGTGAGCTTGGTGGTAATCAAGTAACTAGAAGTTCAAAATGTTTGCATAAGGCGTCAAATTCTGAAGCCAAGGGCTGTTTAGCTGGGTCCAGAATGGATCCTGGGTCCAATCCATGGCCATTTTGGGTAGTTGAAGCTCTGGCAATTTCTCCTTCCCTAAGGGCAATTGGACGGATGCTGAAGAACCATTGTTGTTCTCCCTCACAACTTCCACCATCGGACTTTCCTCCACTTCCTTCTTCAAGAGTACTTGGGGTACAGAAAATGATGCTGAGAATTCATTCCGTGGGCTGCAAAATGAGATTGTTTCTATTGATGATGGGGGAGAAGACGGGGATGGGTGCATTTCCTTCATCTCTTCTTCCATTGCAGCCCTCTGCTCCAGGACTTTGAGGGATGTTGCCTTCCTATATATCTTGCACAGAACTATATCCTGCATTTCACATTGAATCATAAAACTTGCATTCAGAATTGGGACAAAGTCTCAAGAGAATCAATTTTTTTCAGGAATTTGAGTTCTCTCAATCAACATTGGCACAAAAGTACCTTAGGCAGGTGGCTGCCATCAGGGAGGCGATACTCGTTCATGACCCAATCAGTCTTGGTTCCTCTTGGAGCTCTGCCCTTGTAGAAAACAAGGGTCTTTTTCAGGCCAATTATGCGTTTAGGATCAGATAAGCTGAAGATTTTCCTATCAGAACCAGTGGCTTTCCAGAACCCATTTTCTGTTGTCCTGTTAGGCCTCCCTCCACTGCCATGCTTCCTGTCCCTAGGCACAAAAAAGTACCATTCCC